TCACTCTAACGGGGATATGCTTACCTGACTCACTATGTCAGAAAGACTTCCTATACAAAAACCACTCTTACCCACTGCCAATTAACCTTCGGCTTTCATACCACTTGTTGGGTATTTTCAGGGAGATTTACTAGGGAGATACAACATTAATGAGACATGAGCTTAACCCACATAAAGATTGACACCACTCTTAACCCAAAACCTTAAGACATTCGGTTATAAGTCATACTTTCTTATATGTTGCTCAACTTTTTTATTCTTACATAATATAGAACTTAGAATCACACTTGGATTACCTAACAGTCTCCCCCTCAAGTGTGATTTTTCCACATTGGTACATCCCCCTCGAGCTCAATAGTGGTCCTTCCATGTATCGCCATTCACTCTAATTGGACACACTTACCTGACCCACTCTGTTAGGAAGACTTTCGATACAAAGACCACCCTGACCCATTGCCGATCAACCTTCGACTTTGATACTACTTGTTGGATCTTTCGAGAGGGGATTCACAGGGGATAAACACATCAATGAGACATGAGCCCAACCCACATAAAAATTGACACCACTTTCAACCAAAAACCTTAAGGCATTGGGTTATGGGTCATACTTCCTTATGTTGCTCAACTTTTTCATTTCCACAATGTGAGACTTAGATTCACACTTGAGTTTACTAACAACCTCCCCCTCAAATGCATGTATTGTCGTTCACTCTAATGGGAACGCTTACCTAACCCACTCTGTTCACTCTAACGAGACACGTTTACCTGATCCACTCTATCAGAAAAACTTTTAATATAAAGACCACTCTGACCTACTGCCAATTAATCTATGACTCTGAAACACACTAATGAGACAAGAGCCCAACCAACATAAGGATTGACACTACTCTCAATAAAAAACCTTAAGACATTGGGTTATGGGTCTTTTTTCCTTATATGTTGCTTAACTTTCTCATTCTTACCCAACGTGAGCTTAGAATCACACTTGGATTCCCAATAATTTCTTGTTGAATCATTCGAGGGGGAATTTACAGGGGAGAAACACACGAATGAGACAAGAGTCTAACCCAAATAAGGATTGATATCACTCTCAACCAAAAACCTTAAGGCATTGGATTATGAGTCTTTTTTCCTTATATGTTGTTCAACTTTCTCATTCTTACCCAATATGGGGCCTAGAATCACACTTGAATTCCCAACAATCTCTCCCTCAAGTGTGAATTGCTCCACATTGATACATCCCCTCAAACACACTAGTGGTCCTTTTGTGTACCACCGTTCACTCTAACGGGACATGCTTACTTGACTCACTCTGTCAGGAAGACTTTCGATACAAAGATCACTTTGACTACCAATCAACCTTTGGTTGATACCACTTGTTGGATCTTTCTTTTGAAAGTCTTCATGACATAATGAGTCAGGTAAGCGTATCCTGAGTGAATGACGATACATGGAAGGATTATTAGTGTATTTAAAAAAGATAATGAAGACTGTATAGGTTGAAGAAACATCTCAAAATATATTTTAAAAAGTATGAAAAAAATGAAAAATGAAAAATAAAGTGAACTTTTTAAGGATTAATGATTACAGAATAATTAAAGGAACTTAGATAAATTAGAAACAGTCGTTATTAATGATCTTTTATTTTTCTTCTTTATCATTTATTAGGTTCATGGTCTTAGTTGAAATTTTTATTTTAAATTATTTCTATTATAAAGAAGATGATATTAATAAAAAATCTCGTTGATAAAAATAAACTAATATAAAATTTTCACATATTTTTTCTTGATCTTTGTTATTTTTTTTTATATAAAAACTAAAAAGTTTACCTACGAAAAGTTTTATAAAGGTAAAACAAGTTTTCAAACACAATTAACCTCCTTTTATCTATTTTATTGATAATAATAATTTTAAAAAGCTATATTTTAGTTTTTAAAATTATTTTGAATTTTATTATATTTTGTTTAATAATTGATTATACGTTATAATTTGAATTATTATATGTTTTCATATGATATATAAACTATTAATCCCATATATCAATATATAATTTAACCAATTTTAACATAAATTAATGTAAATATAAGTAGTTACTTTTAAATACCACTTTATATTACGTGTGAATAATAATCAATCAATAATATCTTCATGTATTTATAAAGTAATAAAATAATTAATATAAATAGTGTAATAATTAAACAAACTAATATATTAAAACATCTAAAAATAATAAATTAAATAATATATCATATAAAAAATATATATAAATTAAGAATAAAATATGTTTTTCATATCATTATGATAAATGTTTGTGTTAAGTATAATTAAAATCTTTTATTTAATTTTCATATATTATTAATTACTCATTTAATTTTTAACAATCATTACTTGAAAAGTTGCTAAATTGATATCACTGTAGATCTTTATACTCATTTGTGTAGATTTAAATATCACTTAACAAAGCTTATGAAAATCATCATCCATCCAAATATTATTCAAAATTTATCCAATAGAAACTAACAAGACTATCTCATCCGTACACATTTAAAATTAATTATAATCTTTTTATGAAATCATTTTTTTAATTAAAATCATACATATCATTCTAATATCTATGACATTATAATATAACTATTTTTTAAACAATAACGATTAAAATCTTAATAGTGTAATTTATATTATATGAAAATTGAACAAAATAATTTAATTATAATAATATAAATATTTATAACTTTTATTGTATAAAAATATATTTTATCGGTAAATTAATTAAGATAAAAAAATGTTAATACAAGTGTTAAGAGGAAGACCCAAGGACAAATTTTGTATGTCCCATTTTGACTAGTGTCGTCTCTAACCGTAAAAAAATGGGATAGTACGGTAGGGATGGCAAAACGGGTCAGGCCCGGCGGGCTAGCCCGCCAGCTTGTCATAATATGGCGGGACGAGTTGGTGTTTTCAGCCCACCAGCCCGTTTTAGCCCGATCGCCCAAGTCCGTCAACCCGCCGGGCCAACTCGCGGGATGGGGCGGGCCGACCGTGACCCACCTAATTAATAAAAAATTAAATTTTTATTGTAATAAAATTAATTATAAAGATAATATATAAAGTTAAAAATTAAAAAAAAGAATTAAAAAGTTTCGAGTCTCACGAGAAAATAAATACAACATTCTCTCTCTTTTCTCCTTGTTCATCCTAAGCACGGTTATTTTTATCCTTATGACTTGAATTAAAGGTATAAGAATTACTCAACCAAGAATAATGTGAAGTTTTATCAAATAAAAAAGATATAGGTATTTGAATTTTTCAATATAAAAAATATAAATTTTATAAGTTTTAACGTTATATATATATATGTTATTATTTATTATTATGTAAATTTTATTATTGTTCTAAATTATAATTTCTTAAAATAATATATTGATTTATATTATTAAATTGAAATAATATATATATATATATATATTGAATTATTGACAAACAAATAATAATCTTATTATTAAATTTATTAAAAAAAATTATTTTAAAAAAGAAATTTTTTTTTCTAAATTATGGCGGACCATCCCGCCCGGCCCTAACTCGCCCCTTGGCGGGGCGGCTTAGGGTCTATAGCCGGTCATGACTATAACGGACAGTCCGCCAGCTCAGCTTTTGACGGACCAAAACGGGACGGACTGTCCCATTTTACCATCCCTATAGGACGAACCCGAAATAGGATTAGTCTACCATTTTTTGTTTATATATATATATATATATATATATATATATATATATTATTTATTTATTTATTTATTTATTTTAAAAAATATACCTTTAATTATATGATTAATTTTTTTATTAATTAATATTTTTATTAGATTATTTTAAAAAATTATTATATTTATATGTTAAAATATTTAATTATATTAAATAATTTAAAATTAATTAGTTAATATTTATAATTTGTATATTTTAATAACATGACATAAAAATACATAATATTTTAAATTATATATTTTTTTATTTTAATTTAAATATATAATTTTTTTAGAGAGAGTTAACCTGATAACCGGTTCACGTTTATCTAAAATGAGGTGAGAGAAACTAAAATAAACTAAAATTTAGATCCACTGACACATTAAATTTAACATGTTTTGTCACCAATAAATTAACTATGTCTATATTGTGAATCTAATCTTAAGATTGATAAATCTCATTACCAATAATATATCTAAGATGATATATTACTAAATTTAATTAAACTTTAACTTAAACACTAATCTTCCTTATATAAATTTTGCCATCAATACTTATGAGAGAAAAAAAAATTGAAAAAATAAATAGTTTGTAAGATTTTTCCATATACAAATTGATGCAATATTGAACTTCAAACCCTTTTTGCTTTGGTTGGTGATTCAAATTAGATGTTTGGTATTTATAAAAAGTATTCATACAAAGTAGGTAACGACAATTGGGAAAATTAATCCTATGACATCATTTCAATGAGACCAAGTTTGATACAATATCACTTCAATGTGACAAATTTGTTGAATCTTCTACGAAATTCACACACAATTTTTTTTTTTATTTTTTTTATACAACAACAAAGAAAACACACATTTCATAACTAGAACCAACCAAATACGTTGTTTTTCAAACAAAACAAGTTGACATAATTTCAATGATAACAAAGTTTGACCAAACTAATGCTTATATAAATTAGTATTTATTGACTACTTTATTTACTAAATGTATCAGGTTTTTGTTTGGTCTACGTTCAACACACTTAGCTCACATTTGCTTAATAAAAAATATAAATTATAAAAATATTGAAAACCTCAATAATTAAAAATAATGAAAGGTGAAAAATACCGAACATCAGATCAAAGAAAAAAAAACAAAATTAAATAGATTCATAAAATAGTAAAACTCTCTATGTCACTCAAATACACAATGAAAAATAAAAATAAAAAAAAATCTATAAATTTTTAAATCAAGAAATTATAAATACAAACAAAAAGGAAAAGCATCTTCCTCTGACTGCGTGACGTGTTTTGTTCAGATTGGAATTCTTGGACTTCGTGTCATGTTTGGAAGAGGTTGGGTTATAAATGGGGTCACGGCCCAATATGGAGTTTGGTCTATTAAATTTCCAATGGATAAATTGGAATTTGAGCCCTCTCTATCTATATATCGCCATTTTTGTTGTATTTGATTTTATTTTAATTTTTTAAAATACAATATATATATATATATATATATATAAAATATAATTATTTATTTTTAAAATTATAAATTATTAGAAATAAATAAATATGGGACAGCATTCGAAGAAAAAAATAATTAAAAAATACACATAATTGAAGAAATAAGGAAGAAATAATAAATTATTATTTATTATTTAGAAAAAAATTGAATAAAATATATTATTAAAAGAAATACATAAAAGAATATATATCATAGGTATAAATTGTTATTTTTTCTCTTATGACACAAAAAAACTATTACAAAATAAATGATAATACTGTAAATTTTTAAAGAATTTTTTCTATAAACTAAAATGAATTAAAAGATAAAATAAATTAAAATTTTCATATAACAAAGTCTTTGTTTGTTTGAAGGATTCCACTGTTTATAAAGAAATACGAGTATGAATTTCTAAGGGTGACTTTTGTTTGTTTTTATTGTAAAATAGAAATATTGCAAAATCTATAACATATTCCACTAAGTTAGAATGTGTTCTACTAACCTAAAATGTATTTTACTAACTTAGAAATACTTTGCTCTTTCATGTTTTCAGGCCACAACACCCATGATGATGAATGCATATATGAGTTTGTTGCTCATATTACACTTATAAATAGATCACTTCACACTTATTCAAGAGGTACATTTTTACTTATCTTATTTTCTCCCCTTTTCATTTTATTTTATCATGATTTATTTACTTTTTTAAGAGTTTCTTGCTAATTTATGAGATCCACAAAATTTTCGAGAAGTTCCTATTATATACTGGGAGACTTGCGCAATATAGTGCAGATAAGTCCCGAATCTTAAGGAATCAAAATTTGTTTGTGTCTTTATCAACATTTACAGTAATCTCAATGACTTATTGTTAGGGATGATAAAACAGGTCAGACTCAGACCGACCCACCAACCTGTTATAATATGGTGAGATGGATTAATGTTTTCAACCAGCTAACCCATTCGCCAAGCCCACCAACCCGTGACCCACCTAATTAATAAAAAAATATTTGTTTATTATAATATATAATTATTCATAAAGACAATATATAAAGTTAAAAATCATAAAAAAAGAATTAAAAAAGTCTCGTTCTCACTCATTATAAAAATAATTCTTCTCTCTTCTCATTGTTGCTCATTATTTCCTCCTTATTCATCTAGGCATGGCAACAAGCGGGGCTGGGCGGATTTTGCCTTCCGTCGGAGTTATAATTAAGTCCTCATTCCTGTACTCGCTAGGTTTCGAGTTTCCCCTCCCCCGCCTCATCCTCGATCTATATTATTTTTAAAAAGATAATTATATTTATAATATATTAATTTTACTATGTATTTTTTATATATAAATAAATATTTATAATTTTACAATTTATAATTATTATTAATTAAATATATTTTTTAATTTATTATATTTATATTAAAATATGTATATAAAAAATATTTAATCATTTTTTATTTATATATATAAAATATTTATAATAATATTTTTATTATAATACTATATTCAAACATTTGGATATTTATAACATTATTATTATTATTATTATAATATTATATTTAAACATTTTGATATTTATAACATTATTATTATTATTATATTCAAACATTTGAATACATATATAAGTTAATTCATTTTTAAGTTGTCATTTAAAAATATGAAATATATAATTTATAAGGAAATATTTAATAAGTTAATTCTTATTTAATTAGTTCGAAGGAATAAAAGTTTAAATTATCAATTCTTTTTAATTCTTTAAAATATAACTATTTTATTAAGATAAAATTTGATATATGATAAATAAGAATAATAAGATTAAAAAAATGATATAATAAAACCTAATAAATATAAATTATAAATAAAATAATATTAAAATATTTAAAAAAAAGATAAAGAAAAAAATTAACTTTGTGTTCATCAAATTGGTTGAAAAGATTGAAAATATAAATAAATTGATTGGAGAGATTAAGGAAATTTGAAAGACTGAAAGATAAGAGAAAGAGGATAATATAATAAATTAATTGATATAAAAGATTAAAAAAGACAAAAAAAATTAAAAAGTGGGTAAAAGAAAAGTAAAAATGGTGAAATATAAAAAATGATCTTACATGTAATAAAAAAAGAAAAGGAAATACTTTTAAAATATTAATATTTAAAATTAAAATTAAAATATAAAGTCGGGATGGGGACGGAGACAGGGTGAGGATTGCATTACCCCTCTAACATATTCACTCATATTTAATAAGGTTATGAGTTGGGAAAATTTTCATGTGTTTTTGATTAAGAGAAACCATTTTTAAGAAAGAGTTTTATTGTGTAGAAAAAAAAAAGAAGATATCAATGCAAAATGTTGAGATTTGCTTTCTTTTTATTCTCTTTACAAAATATCATTGTACAAATTGTATATTATTTGATTAGGATTTGATATAATTGTAAATATGTAGTATGATTAAGTACACATATTTTATATCTTTTAAATAAGTTGTACATATTTTATTTCATATTAGAGAATGTATGTATTTCAATTTATATTTTTCAAGTTGGTATCAGAGCGGTGACGATCCTTTATATCTTAAATCATTTGAAACCTCCAAATGGATGAAAGGAATTTTGATACACCTAGAATGAAATTAATTTATTTTGTTGTTCAAACTCAAGAAGTTTTCAATACTCTTTCAAAAGCCTGTTACGATGATAAGAAGGAAATACTAATGCCAAAATTGAAAAAGAAGGTATTTACTATCGAACAAAATGAAAAAGGTATTTGCATTATAAGCATTGATGCATCGATGAAATCTTCGTAAGATTGTTAATATTTTTAATGATATATGGATTATTGATACTAAAACTTTAAATTATATGACATTTGATCTTAGTAAGGTTACAAAAATTAAATCATCTATAGAAAAATATATTTCTATGAAAATGGAAATAAATCCCAAATTATTGGGGAAGAACCTTTAAATTTTACTAGTCTTTAAATCTTGATTTTGTCTGATTGTTCATTTTTAAATTTTAAAGTTCTATCTATTTCTCAAATAACAACCGATTTATCTTGTGTAATAATGTTTTATCCTAACTCTTGTGCTCTTAAAGATATTAAAACAAAACAATCAATTAGTTATGGTATTAAGAGAGGAAACTTATCCTAGATTTTTCAAAAAAAATATGATGAATCACAACAAACATTAATTGTTGATAACTCTAAGGGAGAAAATAAAAATTTTGAAATCTGGTTGTGCCATCAACGCTTTGGTCATGCCTCATTTGGATATTTTAAAAATTTATTTCCTACTTTATTTTTTTAAAAATGTGATATTCATAGTTTCCATTGTGATGTTTATGAATTTGCAAAGAGCCATTTTGAACTTCATTTCCATTAATTTTAAATAAAAGTCCTCAACCTTTTATAGTGCTACATTATGATGTGTGGGGTCAATCTAAAATCCAAACTTTGGATGGATTTCGTTGATTTGTCACTTTTATTGATGATTTTACAAGAATGACTTGGTTATGCTTAATAAAATAATAAAATAAGGTAAGATTATTATTTAAAAATTTTTTATAAAATGATTAAAACTCAATATAATGCTTAAATTCAGGTTTTGCATATTGATAATGGTAGGGAATTTAAAAATTTTGAACTACAACAATATTTACAAGCTAATGAAATTATTAATCAAACTATTTGTTCTAATACATCTCAACAAAATGAAAGGTTGTTGAAAAAAACAATCGACTTTATTAAAAGTTGTTCGCGCTCTGTCAAATAAGACACACATGTCATTCATTGTGTTATTGGAGAGAAACTCTTACTTGAGCAATATATTTAGTAAATTGGACTTCTTCAAGTTCTATTAAGTTTAAGACACCTTTTAAAACTTTACATAATTTAGCTATCACTTCAATTGTTCCTAATTTACCCTCTCATATATTTGGATGTGTTGCATTTGTATATCTTCATAAGCATGAATGCAATAAGTTGGCCTCACAGGCCATTCCAGTAGTTTTTATTGGATATGCTATACATAAAAAAAGGTTACAAGTGTTATCATCATCTCACTCATCATATGTATATAACAACTTATGTGATACAATGTATTTTGCTTTTGAGTATGATTTTCAAGGAGAGAACCAACAAGAAACCCAGAAAATTTAGACTTTATAGTACATTAATTTAAGTGATATAACTTCATATAATCATCCTTTAAGAGATGAAGAAGAATTTGACATTGAAACATCACAAAAATATCCCACTAGAGATAACATTGAAACATCACAATAATATCAAAATAAAAATAACATTGAAACATCACAAGAACCCCTTAATGGAAATAACATTGAAAAACTATGTGAATTTATAGATGAAGATGACATTGAAGTATCACATAAAACTTTTGATGAATATGTTACCAATCATTTGTTAGCTAGAAAATAATTGTCAATTCGTCTCACTAGAGGTATTCCTAAACTTACTTATGAACCTGAACTCTCTAGTAAAGTTAAATATCCTTTTAGTAATTATGTAACTAATCATAGAGTGTCAAAAACAAATAAAATATTTATAAATCAATAATCTACTGTAGCTATTCCTAACAATGTGCATGAAATGTTAGCTGACCAAGATGGAAGGAAGCTATGAATGAGGAGATGAACTCACTTCAAAAGAATAAAATTTGGACCCTTGTTGATTATTCAGCAGGAAAGAAACTAGTAGGATGATGGTGGATTTACCCTATCAAACATAAAATAGATGGTTCAATAGAACGATTTAAAGTAAGATTAGTGGCAAAAGGATTACACAGAGACATTTGCTCCCGTAGCAAAAACTAATATTGTTTGAGTATTATTATCTTTAACAACAAATTTGGATTGACTATTGAAGTGGTTTGATGTAAAGAATTCATTTTTACTCAGAGAAAAATAACAAATAACACAAGAACTTGAAATACCAAAATATGCATAAAA